CCCCAAAACCCCAAAACCCCAAAACCCCAAAACCCCATTTTGATATAATAATTGAGCATAAAATGGATAAATTGTACAGAAAGAACAAGAAAGCTACTATCTACACCAGAAAATTTGAAGATAATAATGAAACCTCAATGTTAAATGAAGTAATAAGTCTGTCTATTTAAATCTTTACTTTCTGTAGGGTGCATTGCAAAATCTTTAATTCATTTTTAATTTTCTCTTAATTAATAATTGACCAGAACCTTCTCTAGAATATTTATAACTAAATTTACACAAAGTGATTTTAAGATAAATTCCAAGAGTCCAGGAAGTAAAGTTTCAGCTCACAAAGGAAATTCCTCCACCGGAGAGTATAAATTGAGAACTACTCTACAGAGTCCGTTGGATAAAAAAACAAAAGATCCTGAAATATCAATTAGAGACGGAAATATCACCTTGAGTGATAATTCATACACTATCAATAGTAACCTATCTCAATAATTTTAAGCCATAAAACAATCATCTAAAAATTCAAACAAAAGAGCATTACTCCCAAGACTTCCTCAAGAACTTCAACGAAATTTTGAAAGTAAGCCAAAATCAAATTCCAATACTCCTATCCTGAGGTGCTAAATTTACTGAAGCAACCTAGTTATGCTCCACCACAGATATTCTAAGACACTGCAAAACCTTTTGTTCCCAAACATCTAAACCATTCACCACTCTATATAATCCTCACCCATCCCACCTCTAGAACCTCATCGGCGGAAAAACTCCTTCATTACCAACCTAAAAGAGTCAGCAACAAAAATAGGAAATTATAGGTTCATGTCTCCGAGTCCCAATTTGACTACTCCTAACAATCAATCTCTCATCCATCCTCGCTCTAAAAGTATTTTTGATGGATACAAAGGAAAATCTTCTGATAAACTCAAAGGACGTTATCGGACTAAATCAAAACCTAATAACTCATTAAATCCTTCATATGCATTCAGGCCAGAATTTATTGTCACCAAGAAACAGAAAGTAAACAAGGTGAATCTGAAGAGATTTGAGAACAAACAAGAGGACAAACTGCACAAAAATCGTGTTTCTATCAATTGCCAGAGCCATCGTTTAGCCTCCATAACTCCTAAGATGAGCAAGAAGCTTCAAATTTCCCCAAAAATTAGAGAAATGTCCCAACTACGAGGGTTGAAATCTCCATCTCTAGCAAACAAATTTGAAAATATTCATTTGAATACAAGATTTGGCTCAACCAAAAGAAGAAAGGCTACACCATATGTATGTCAAATTCTAATAATCCTAGATAAACCCAGCTTTGAAAGAGAAGCTAATAACCAAAGGAAAAGAGAGTATTTTACAAGCCAACCTGGAGCAGAAAGCCAATGTCCTAAATCTTAGTCACCAACTTCTAAAACAAAAAACTGACGAACATCTTCTTAAACATATTAGGGACAGAAGAAACCAGAGTACTCAACCCATTCGGAAAGCAGAAGAAATATGACTTCATCAGAAAAATTTAAATTTTATCATAAATCCTGATGTTTTACTTTCTCCGGAAGTTAAGGAAAGACCCCAAGAAAATCATGTAACACCAAATCCATCAATCAAATGAGGAAGCCCAAGTAAAAATCCTCTCATAAAGGATCAGAAACACGATATAAATATGGAGAACTTCAAAACTTCCTTGTCTAATCTAAAAATTTCTCCTGACAATAGATACAAAAATAAAAGAAAAATTTTAATACCAAGGCCTATAACTAAAATCTCAACCAAGACTGGCAAATTTTCCAAAGAAAGTTGGAAAATTCCAACTGAAAGCCCAGTAAAGTCCAATCTATCGCCTGTAAAAAGCACAAAAACAGCTTGTAAAATCACTAAAAATAGAGAAATCGGCATCCCCAATTTTAGCAAAGACAGTGCAATCAAAGATATTGTCAACAAACTCCAAAGTAGTAAGAACATTACGAGTTTTTACAACACCAATGATACCAGCATGAACGGAGAGAGACTTCTCAAAGGAATAGGTAGTCAGCAAATCGATATCAACGCTTCGTTACGGCCTGAAAGCAGTACTTACTCTCCACTGATGTATAGATGAGCAAGAAGTCATTATTAACAAGCAGAAATCTTCGAATATAGTTCATTTTAAAGCCCTAGGAGAGAGCAAGAATAGCTACATTCAGTCATTAATGAGCCCATATTCTTCTACCAATAAGGAGAGCCAACCAAACCAAGGATCCTGTAAAGCCCCTTCCTTTAAAAAGACAATTGATAGCCTGATGCTTACTAATAATGTTGTGAACGAAGCAGATGAAAGCTTCCACGAGGATGACCTTCTGCGAGAATCTTCCAAAATTATAAATGACAAGCAAGAGTTTAGCTTTGACCAGCCAAAACTTTCTGACTCTTATGAAGACTGAAAAAGAGAGAAGCATAAAGGAAGATACTCAGAAACAAGTCAGAATGAATCGTGCCATAATTCTGATCTTAATCTACTCTCAGATACATTTCTTAAAATTGACAAGGATTTCAGTCCCAAACTTAAGTTGATACAGAAGCCAAAATTAGATTTTTCAAAAGAAGTCACGCTTCCTGACAAACCAAAGAATTACATAAACCTACAAGAAGATCAAGATGATGTTCTTCAATCAGATAATGAGGTTGAAATTCTCCCAAGCCCTATCAAAAAGCCAATAAAGAAATCATTTGACTCAATTCCTCTAAGAATTATTCCCCAGGAAGACTCCAAGGCTAGCCCTGAGAAGAAAATTGAGCTAGAAGATTTCGATGACTCAATTATCATCACTAAGTAAGTCATGATTTTATAAATCATAGCGACCAAGTTGATTCTGATCCAACAGAAAAATATAGCCGTAGCCCTCTTTCTGCTCATAATATGCTAGGCAATGAGTTTGAGACAAGCTTAACCAAAAATAGAGGTAAAATTTATCATTTTTGTTATTAAATATCTCTGGATTATTTTCTAGAAGTCATGAAGGATTTCTAAACTCAGAAATTATGCTATAGTTAAATTTAATCCATTTTGCGAAGCCATATGTCTCTAGCAATATTGTTCAAAGCTAATAGACTTGTATAGATAATCCTTCAGTTGACAATTTGAAGCTATTGGATCAAGAAACATGAGAAGAGCCAAGCCAACGGTGACCTACACCAGAAGCTGAGTTAGCATTTACTCCTCGACAAGTATTCTTCCTGAATCAAGAGAAGCAGCTTGGAATTTTACCATAATTGAGCTTATGAATCTTTCAATATGTTATAAATTTGTAGGGGTTTTGGGGTTTTGGGGTTTTGGGG